GATTTTGAGTTCCTGTATGGCAGCGGGTTGGATTGGATGGCCCTTGTGGTTTCTTCCAATTCTATGATTCTACAACTAGCAAAAGAATAAAGAATATAAAATGTTAAAAGTTCAATAGTAATAAGTGAAATCAAAGACCATCTGTTGATTGGAAGAATTACCATGAGCCCTTTTAGATGAGAAGTCATAAGGACTCTGAAAAGTCTCAGTTTTGGTTCCTCTATAAACCAATTCTATTTTGAAGATCCACATAACATTATCTTCATTCCAAAGTATTTCCTGGGAAATCCCAGCATTTCCAAGGATTTTTCATTCTTACTTCCCAGGTTAGTTGAAATTGTGGTGGGCAGTGTGTGGCCCCAGGGCTGCACGTGCCCAGGGTTGGTTTTGTGGCTCCCGGGTTCCTTAAGGAGTCAAAATTGTTTTTGCTTCAAATACCCCAAAATGATCTATATGTGCTGTGGACAGCATTTCCGCCATATCTGGACCCCTCCTGGACTTTCCAAGGTCAAAACAATTTTTTGCAAAATGTTTCAAAAACAATTCTTTTGCCTCAAAATGATCCAAAATAGCCTTTAGAAAGCCAGGAAGGCCTTAAAAATGGCAAGAATGTTCTCATGTCACCTAGTGGGTGTTTATGGGCATTTGGGGGCAAAAAGTTTAGGTCTCCTGGGGGAAGCTAATGCAGCTCCCTAACCTTCCACAGTTGTCAATCGTTAGTTTAAATTAACCCAGTATTTTCCAAAATGAAATCTATCTCTACTTGGCTATCTATATTATCCTAAAATAGTTAAGATGGCCATTGCCAGTAAACAGATCTATTGTTTCCAGGACACAGATTCAACAGAGATCAAGTGATGGAAAGAAGAATGTCTGCACCAAAACAAAATGATCCCAGTACTTCTATAGTGTAATATGGATAAAATATGTTAGTACTTTGACTGTGACTCCTGAATATTAATACTAATATACTACTACTACTACTACTACTACTAATACTACTAATAATAATAATAAAGGCTCAACAAAAATGGGAGGAAATCCATTTCTGAAATGTTGCATAAGTCTAGATGTGGCATGAGATCAGTGGGAGAAGGAGGAGGAAAATGAATAGGAGTGGGAGGAAGGGAAATCTAGGATATGTCTAGAGACTGGATGAAGACCTGGGAATATGCAGGCAAAATAAAAAAGAACTAGAAAGTCTCAATAGTCTACCCTTCTGGATGACTCTTATGAGAACAGAAATTGGGGATTCATGTCCCATATATGAAACCTGGAGCTTTTTAAAGATACAGATGTAGAGCAGGTGTTATTTGTGATAGCTTTCATGCAGTCAATATATATCTTTTTTCTTGCTCAATCTGGAAATTTACTAACAACCTGTGAACTCCATTAGAGAAAAGTGCTGCCTACTCAGTCATTATTTGTCTCTCATTCCATGTATTTCTGTGGGTATCTCATTCCATGTATGTCTCCACAAGAATAATGGAGCAGCAGCTGTGAATTCACCAGAGGGCAAATAATTCACACATGGAATGAAACAATTGACACTAACTTCACATTTCCTTAGGGGAATGTTTATCAGGGACTCTTCTGAGCCACTGGAAAGTACCCAAAATTGCTTCCTGGCCCAAACGTTTTCAATTCCTTTCTGAGAAACTGAGCAAGAAACAAATGCTATCTTTTTATATATTTTTGTTGCTGTTAACTGCCTTCGCATCGATCTCAACCCATGACAACCCTATGGATGAGACATCTCCAGGC